TATTTGAACGGTGTAAAGCCAATGTTGACGTAGAACACTATGGGTTGGTCCAAGGATGTTTGAGAGATTTTCAAGATGTCTTTTTGAGGGGTGAGTTTGACATTGGCGGGACTGATGTGGTTCAACACCACATCAATACCAGAGATGCAAGGCCGGTTAAGGAACGGCCAAGGCATCACCCATATAGTTACCAGGAGGAGATGCAGAGGCAAGTTGTTGACCTCCAGGAGAGAGGCATCATAGAGCCTTCTGACAGCCCTTGGGCTGCGAACGTTGTCCTGGTTGGTAAGAATGATGGGACAAAACGCTTCTGTGTAGACTACTGGAAGCTTAACGCCGTCACCATCAAGGACGCTTACCCAGTGCCACGCATTGATGAGACATTTGATGCATTGCATGGGGCGAAATGGTTCTGTACCTTAGATTTTGCGTCAGGGTCATGGCAGCTAGCTCTCGATGAAGACGCCAGCCAGAAGTCATCCTTTGTGGTGAGGAATGTTCTCTACCGCTGGAAGTGCACTATATTGAAATACCTTTATTGTTATTCACATCAGTGATACAATAAGAACATTAAGAAATTACATTTATTTATAAATAAAAACATCTACATTTTGATCATTATCACACAGAAAACGTCCGACATGGACAAATTCACATTTGTACATACACCAATGTAGCAGTAGTAAAAAGGAAGAAGGGGGGGACCTAGGACTCAGGCGTAGGAACAGGGGAAACCCTGAAAGGGCCTGGCAAGGTAAAAAGGGAAAATTCCACCATCTGGAGGGGGACAAAGCTATAAAAATGGCAATGTGGGAGGAACATGTATTAAAAAAGGGGAGAGATTCAACATACACAGAATACTTGCAATAAACACATAAAACCCTACTGTCTGGAGATAGTGTTGGGTAGGTTGAGGGATGCTGGGTTAAAGCTGAAACCTAGCAAATGCCATTTGTTTCAGTGGTCAGTGAGTTATTTGGGCCATATTGTTTCAGCGGATGGGGTGGCAACAGACCCCAACAAGGTCCGAGCCGTTGCAGATTGGCCAGTACCTCGATGTGTAAGGGATGTGAGAAGTTTCTTGGGCCTCACATCCTATTACAGGAAGTACATAAAGGGTTTCGCAGAAATTGCGAGTCCGCTCAACGCCCTTACCGAGAAGGCGAGGGAGTTTGTTTGGAGCGAGGCGTGCCAGGTGGCATTTGATGAGCTCAAGGCTAAGCTCCAGTCTGCCCCGATATTGTCCTATCCAATTCCGGAGGGCGGTTTTCTCTTGGACACAGATGCCAGTGGAGACGGCATAGGTGGGGTCTTGTCCCAAGTACAAGATGGACAGGAAAAAGTCCTAGCTTACGCTAGTCATAAGCTTAGCAAGGCTGAACGCAATTATTGCGTCACATGACAAGAGTTGTTGGCAGTTGTTGTGTACCCTTAAGTACTTTCGGCAGTACTTGCACGGCCGAAAAGTTACGTTGAGAACAGACCATGCCGCACTTGGGTGGTTGCTCAGGTGGCAAGATGGATTCAGATTATTTCTGAGTACGACGTAGAGATTCAGCATAGGCCGGGAAAGAAACACAGTAATGCTGATGGGCTGTCTCCAGCAATGTAGGCAGTGTGGCCTAAGAGAGGCAACTGCTGAGAAAACTGAGGTCAATGAAGATTGTGGGAGCCATGCCAAGCCAGAGGAGTCACTGGCCTGGGGGCGTAGATACTCAGCCGACTTCGACAAATAAAGTCTTAAAGAAGGCCCAGTTGGCCGACAATTGTATGGGTTGGCTCATCAGAGCCAAAGAGAGTTGTGGCGGTCGCCCAGCTTGGCAGGAAGTGTCCCACAACCAAGCAGGTAGTAAGACTCTTTGGTTATTATGGGACCAGTTGGTTGTGAAAAATGGACTTCTCTATCGGAGATGGGAGCCCGATGATGGGAAGGTGGTAAGATGGCGGTTGGTGCTGCGAGTAGACCATCGGAGAGAAGTCTTCCCAGAGCTGCATGGAGGGCTGCTCAGCAGCCACCTTGGGGTTAGAAAGACTGAGGCCAAGGTGAGGCTCAGGTAACCTGTTGGCGTTTTGCTCGGAGTGCTTTTGTGGGGAGCCGTCCTACCCAGATGCAGCTTGGCAACCCGATCTGCTTGGAGACTTGTGGCATGTTTTTCCCCTCACAAACACTGGTTCTATCTGTCTATCACCACAATTATCTCAGCTTAGTCCTGGAAATGTTATGTGATTCTATCAAACAGTTACATATTGTGGTCTGAATTGTAAACATGGTTATTTTTTAAATATGTAATTGAGTGGTCGGGTGCAACCAGACCACTGTCTGGAATTGTTCTAATAAATCTTCTTTCTTTCTTTCTTTTTATTCCAGACAATACTTCGCGGGTTTTCTCCTAGACGGTTTATGATATGAACTTGTAACTTTCAATATATATCGACCCTCATCCCAAGTGGTGCATATTACTCTGACGTCACGATGACGTCATCGTGTGTCAAATTACAAGCGATTTTAGAGGAAAAAGTGGCCAATTACTTTCACCTATAACTCTAAAACAAAATAATCAATTATGTTTCAACTTTGTAATCAGATAGACCATTAGTTGATAAACATTTTTTGTCACATACGTGAACTCGCTTGACCTTTACTTCCGGGTCTATCGGAAGGTCAAAGTTACGTGAATTCAAAATAAAGACTTTAGCCTGAAATCAAAACAAAGCAAAATTTCATCCATACGGTAAGCGCTTTGATCATAAAACCTAGTGTGAACTTGTACCATGTAACAAAGATGTTATAATCTTTGTAACGTCATCATGACATCATCAGGTATCAAATTACAAGCGATTTAAGGCCAAATTTGGACAAAATAGTTTGCGCTATATCTTTTGAACTAAATAGAGTATCATGTTTGTTTTTTTCGTGAGGTTGTAGACTATGCCTTGCTTAACATTTCTTGTCCCCAGACACAAAACCGCTTGACCTTCACTTCCGGTGTTACTGGAAGTGCAATAAAAAATGGATATAACTTAAAAGCAGAAGCATTTTACTACACACATATACATTATGAAAGTTTTAAGTGAGTAATACCAGACACACAAAAAAAGTGTGATGACGTTATCATCTGAAAGGGCGCCCCCTAGCGGCACATAATATAGAGTTTGCTTTCTTTAATTTTAAAACCATCCGTCCACATATTACTAAATCGCCCCTTGATATTCTCTGGTTAACCACAGATAACTTGGCAAGGTTTAAAATTCATATGACGTCATCAGACCGGAAGTTACTTTAAGGAGAATTTGAAAAGTATCATATTTTTAATTGAATTCTATCATTTGATCCCTGTCGTATCTTCATAGTCCAAATAATGATATCCATTACAATGTTCACCTTTGGATCTCTAATGCTGTGACGTCATAAAACCGTAAGTTAGGTATTATTAATACGTCATCAAACCGTAAGTTAGGTGTTACTAATGCATACAATTATATTTCCCATATTTTCATACGTTATTTTTACTTCACAATGAAAATTTATCCTCTCTGAACTTTATTAGTATTCACTTACCGTTTTTGACTGATGACGTCATCAAACCAGAAATAAACTTTTATGCGCACAAAGAATGTTTTTGTAACAAAATAATGGATTATACTGGAAAGGATTTAATTTTGTGATCCTTTGTTCAACATAAACATACGTAACTGGTCAGTGTATACTGAACAGGCTGTCCGCCCGACCACTCTGCGTTTGTAACTCAACAAACGCAAAGCTCTAGTAGTAATATTTTGATTTGTCTGGTATTTCAAAGGAAGTTTTTAATTGTTTGTAAACTAAAAGGAAATTATATGTATGCATTTAGTTAAATCCCAAACACCTTGAATCTGAGTGGGAAGTAGTAATACTTTGTTGATGTTATATGGCAACTATGCTTTACTCTGACAAATGTAATATTGTTTTGTTAACAAATTCAATCGTTCAAGTGAACATTTTCTTGCAATGTATTTATTAATCTGCATAAAACTGTAAATATGAAATTAAATATAAAATATAAATAATATATAATATTTTGAATTGTAAATACAAAATTAAGGACTCCTGAATCCCAAAGGGAGATTGGTTGTTTCAGATAGACGAGTATTCGTTTTGAGTTCGAGTAACAAAAGTCCATAAATAATTTTTATCATATTAATAGTTTCAAAATAATTACATAAATTACGATCAGATTGACTTCAAAGTAGGTACATACCAAGACCCTAAGCTTGTATTGTTTCTACACAAGTTACGTCGTGATGATGTCATCATTAGTCATATAACACCAAATTCACTTCTACACAGCCCAATATATTTTTAGAAGAATACGCGTGTACTTGTACATTCGACTTGGATGAAACTCCTACGTGGCAGTGTTTGCTAAGAAAACAGTCGAAACAGCTATGTGTTTGTCCACAAACACAAGTCTAGTTACTTTTGTAATAGTAATGCAAGATCAATTCATGTTCAACTTTTTTTTTCTTTACAGTGCTGGAAGCCTCCCTTTAACCTTAGTTGACTTTTGTTGACAAGGAACTGATATATTTGTTGCATCAAATCAATTTTAATAGGTGACAAAGTTGACCAGATTGATCAATTAGTTAACCTTAATCAAATTAACAGACACTTTTCAGCATTTTAAGAAAGTTAACTGTAATATCTGTGATGTCCAAAATTTATGTCCGTGACACCACATTTTCTGCTTTAGAGATTAAATGCACAATTAGTTTATATCATATCAATCCAGAAATTGCAATAAGATGGAAAAAAAAAGAACATTTTCCAAAACTGTAATATCCATGACTGAGCCATTTGACCGTGATATCTGAATGATCCAAAACTCTTAATGCATTATCTCCTTGAATATGAAAAACACATTTTCACTTTCATTCATTTAGTTCCTATATATATATTTTAAAAATGTCTGGATTGTAATGGCCATGATGCTGGAATTTCCAATTGATCTTGTTCCCCACAGCTCAAGAACAGCTAGGTAAGCTTCAAGACAAGATTACAGATGCCAAGAAGATGTTAGACGACAAAAACAGAGAGATTCAGAGAATGTCTACAAAATCTACCAAAAGACCGGTGAGAAATACATGCTGCTATCAGGGTTCGACCTTAACTTTTTGTTTCACTAGCCAGCCGGGCTACTGAAACAGACTCTTAAGCAGCCTGCGGGCATTTTCACTAGCCCACATGTTTTTAAACAACAATGTAAATACAATGTAAAACGTGTACCCTGAGGTTATCTTGTCCGTGTTTTTAATTAAACAGATCTAATAATTTAACCCAAAACAGTTGATATAATAAGACACAAATTGATACAGGTTTACTTTCTGAATTTAATGATTTATTTCTTCGTGTCCTTTCATTTTTGCCGTAGCCCATTATTTTTTGACTCACCAGCTGGGCTACTTATTAAGGAATAGTTGGACTAGCCCGTCGCTGTTTTGACTAGCATTTGTCTAGCGGGGTTCCGCTAGAGCAAGGACCCAAGGAGTCAGAACTCTTGGGCGATTTACATTTTGACCATTAACATACCAATCCCTCGGGAATGTCTATAGCTACAGCACTGTGACTGCAAGCCTCGACCATTCAAAGCGTGAATGCCAGCGGCCTTTGAACACGATGATCGTCGCCGCCTTTTTAGTTGGTAACCAACAACCTCCCTATATGCTGCATAATAAGTCATGTCACGTCGCTGCTCTTTTTTGAAAAATATATTTTACGACAAGATAGGTTTTTACAACTGCGCAGTTGTTAGATGTGAGTTATGAACTCAAGTTAGCAATGTGCAGTTGTTGGTGCTTAAAAGCGTTATCTGTCCCTGTAATTTGGAGATAAATTGGATTTCTTTCAGATAAGTTTTCTTGTATTTTCAGACATTTTAATTGGCAATATATCATTGATGAAATGTGTTTTTTTGGAAAATTTCACAAGTTTTCACACTAAAGGTACAGAGCATTTTGTTCTTCATGAAATGATTGTTCCAGTGATGTTGACCACATTTATATACAGTATCATCCAACTGCGAACAAACACTTCAAAATCATTCATTTTTAGCGATGTATGACAACTGTGCATGCGTATTTACCATGGTACTGTCTACGAAGCCATGCAAACTCCTTTTTTGGCATTAGTGAGCGCAGATCTCTATTGTGTCGAGATTAGCGTAGTGAGCAACTGAGCAAGCTGGCGCCAGGTGCTTTCTATTGTAGCTTTCGAGCGCAGCGACCATCATTTTACTTTTGAAGTCTTGGAGTACGAACTCCTTGGGTCCTTGCTCTATGGTCGAACCCTAGCTATGCCCTTGTGCTTTTAATATGGTACAGGATGAGTCAAAGAAAAGAAAGCCCAAATATCATCCCCTGTTTTTGCAAAGAAGTTGTGCACTTAGTGCGATCAAGATCTAGGGAGCGAAAGCCCATTTAATAAGCTCTTTTTTAGAAAAAGAATCATTCATATCGCTCATGTACTTTTCAAGTTATTGACTTTTAAACACAAACACAGTATTATAATTTTGTTGATGGATCCCAATAAAGGTAAGAGATGTTCCAGCAAAACGAAAACATTCACATATCAGACGCGTAGCGAGGTCATTTTTATTGGTGGGTGTAAATAGTTTGTGAAAAGGGCACTCGCACAACTGTGCTGACATGTAGACAGGTTTTTTTTCTGGACACTTGGCCTCCTTAGAATAAAAAATCATAAAGCAAAGGATTTCATAGTGGATATAAAATGTGCTGCCAGTGGTGTATGTAGTACTCATACTCATTACTCCTACTTGAGTACTACTCGAGTACTTTTTTAGAGTACTCTTACTTGTACTCGAATGTCAAGTACTCGTACTCAAAATGACGGTACTCATACTCGGGCAGCAAAGTACTCTTACTCGACATGTCAAAATTGTACTCAATCATCAAATTACTCGTAATCGAATAGCAGTACTCAGAGAAAAAAATTATAGCTTGACCTACCATGGCCTTATTTTATTGATACTTTCGGTTTGAAATGGTTGATTGGCTTGTGGAGAAATCGAAGTTTCCTGACTCTCCTCTGTGCACGTCCGGACAAACACAATTAACAGCTAGCCGTGAGTGGGTCTGTATATCGGTCTGACTGGGCCTGGGCCAATTACGTACAATGGCCCATGTGCCGTATGTGGGCACAATGTCATCGAAGGGTTTCTCAAAATGGTTGTTCGATTAACTTGGGTAATTGGAGCAAGGCCGTTTTCAGTCAGCTTGTGAAGAATTTGTGGCACTTTTGTGCCCAAGTGTAACTTGTTTGTGACAAAAATCACGAAAAATGTTGTTCATATACAAGTACTCGTACTCACACTCGGCAACCTAAGTAATCGGCAGTACTTAGTACTCGTAAAAGGACTCTACTACAACACTGCGTGACCACACATTGCATCTGTTGCAATATGTTACATAGTGTTTGAGTGACTTAAAGGAAGAGCAAACCTTTTGCAGCAATCCCAAAAGTAACTGACCAAATTATTGTGAAAAATTAAATTGGTGTAAAGACAACAACACTAGACTCCCCGTGAAATTATGCACTGAGCTAAAACTTTAAAAGGTTAGTTGTTATATTACCTACTTACAATTTTGAGGAATTTTGTGGCTTTGAACCAAAAGTTCCAGGAAATGCGAATGACCTTTAAAGAAGTCTTTTCTAACCATCCTTCACCTCAAGCTTTCTGAGTCAGAGAAGCAGGAGTTGAAGCGTTGTCTATGGGAGCGTCTGCATGCAGTGAACAATCTCAAGCAGCGTGTTGCTGAGCTGGAAGAAGCAATGGAGGCAAGCCTATACATTGTACAGATAAAAGAGAGAGAAATGGAGAGACTGAAACATCAGCTGCCTAACCAAAAACACCCACAATATGTGAGTCGCACAATTGTTTTCTTACAGTGTTCATAAGAAATAGGCTCCAAGAAAACTGTAATGGTTTAATCCATATGTAACACCTCGCTCACAGAGCTTGTCTCTTGGTTGGCCAAAAGCACATTGCATGGTTCTTACTACTTTTACTTTATTACCATGCACCCCTACAGAAACTTTATCACAGCGTCACCCGATTTCATGAAACTCATCGTAACTTGCGATGCATCACAGCGCTGTGATGCGCCACAGCGCTGTGATGTGGTACATTAGTAGAATAACAATAGTTTTGGTGAAACAGCTATTGTTTTTGTTTATATTTGTGTTCTTTTGTTTTTGGGTGTTTTTTTTTAAATTCTTTTTAGCTGTTGCTTTTTTGTGTGTGTTCCCCCCCCCCCCTTTGTATGGGCTTTTGCTTGCAGTTGTAGAAAAGCCTTTGTTTTGTTCGTTCAGATATTTTTTTTCCCCCTTCTATTTGTTCACTCAAAATCCCATAGACTTTGTGCACGTCTTTTCATTCAACAAAGTTGTGTCCCGAAGAGTGATGTCATGATGACGTCATCATGGGTCACGTGACGTCATCTAACATGTGCATATTTCAAGATCCTACATCTACAGAACTATAAGCCCTATTGAGTTGAGACTTGGTGTGTAGGTTGACCAGGATGTGTAATAGATGAAAAAATGAGGTGACATTATCATGACGTCATGGTGACGTCCTCATGACATCATTGTGTGATTATATATATATGTAACGAACGCAACATGCTAAGTTGAAAATTCTTTTTGTTATGGATTTGTTAGAGCATAGGTCTATGCACAAAGAAGTGACAAGAGTGTGACATCATGATGGTGTCATCAAAAACGTGATATTTCATAATGCATAGGCCCCTATAGGGTAGGTCCGATTGTCTTGAAAATTGTTGGGTAGGTGGATATTGTTACTAATATGACGTCATTTAACATAAAATGCAATCAGAATGACTTTAAACTGGGCACATACAAAGACCCAAGGGTTAAGACAAGTGATGTCCTATTGTGTTTAATAGGAAAGGGCGTAATCATACTTGTCGCCACAAAAATGGAATGGATTTTGGCCACCACCATGCATTTAAGTTTCCTCAGACTTGTGTTTTCTTTAAAAAAAGAAGTGGTTTTCTAGCTGAGAAAATAGCAAGGAAGAACTGGTTTTGTGGGAGCAAAATTCAGGAAATAATCTGTTGATACTAATATCTTGTTGGAAAATTCAAAAATCATTCCAAAGTCATTGTCCTCTGGGTGTATAGCTGCCTTTGGGACCATCGATCTCCACATTGGTATTTTGCCTAAACCTATTGTCGATACTTCTCTCGCCCTTACTACTGCTATGTTCATCAAAACCAAGTTCTGCAGCCACTTGAGCTTCCTCAGTACCTGCTTACGACTTGGACTTATACCTTAGGGTTTTGAACTGAAGTTTCACATGTCCCAAATTATTCCGGATTGTCATAGTTACTCTAGTCAGATGCGCCGTATATTGTCCGTCTTATCCATTGCACACTTCAAACCAATCGCAAGAGAATCGCTCAGCTTGACCAAGAGGTACGTTATTTGCGTGCTAATTTGTATAACCATGGTGATCAGAGTACTGCCTATCATATCGGGGGTATTATCCACGAACTCAACGCTGAACTATATAATACCATGAAGCAGTCGAAACATTCCAAGCTGAGTTCACTTCAAGATACTTCTCCAATAGCTCACAAATCCCTGCTGACCCTTGACTCGAATCATCGAAAACAGCCTATGAAATTGGTCGTTACTATTCTCTCAGATCTTCCCTCTCTCTGAAGCGGAGCACAGAGTTCTTCAATGTGGTCCTAATTTCGTACTAAGAAACGTGGTCTTCATTTCTTACCTACCACTTGTTGGTGAATTTTCTACTAAGAGAGATGCCAAAGAATTCTTTCACCGTTTACTCCTACGAGAATATTGTAATCCGCCCCCTCACTTATCCATGTCTCAATCTGCTGATTCGTGTCGTCAAGCTGACCAAGCTGATCATGTTGATTCCTTTGACAAACTCTGCCCCAAGAGATCTTAGTGGTGTCCTTAATCTGGCCGTAACAGAATGTTAGACTTTGTGATTGACAGTTTTAGGTACGAAGTCAATCGACTTGACTTCAATAGATCTACCCTCTCCAACATCACTGCTGACAAACGCAAAGCTTTGCAGTCCCTCCGTAAAAAAAAGACGAAGTTCTATCGTCATAAAGAGAGCAGACAAGGGTGGAGCTATTGTTGTTTGGTGACGTGATCTATACATCCAGGAGGCTGAATGTCATTTTTCTGAGAGGTCGTCATACAAAGACGTTGACCGACCTAACAGCTAAGCACCAGGAACAACTTTCCCGTGCCATGAAAGAGTCCATTCAGCTGGGCGCACTACCTACCAACGTTGCTAACCTCATAGTTTCTGCACCCTGTACTCCATATTTACCTCCTCCCGAAGATTCACAAAGCTAATTACCCTGGACAACCCATTGTCGCAGCCCGCGATTGTCCCACTGAGCTTGTTTCCTGCTACCTTGTCTCAGTTTTGATTCCCATCGTGCAATCATTACCATCATACGTCAAAGACACCTCCGATGCTCTCTAGCTGTTTGAAGATTTCAGATTTTGGCCCTCTGCTAAGGGGCCATTCAGAATTTTCAATGTTTTAAAATTTCGATCTTTTTTCCAAATTGTGGGTGGGTGGGTCAAGCTAAATAATTGAAAATCGAAATTCACTTTCCATGGAAAAAGGATTAAAAAAACAAAGAAAGATAGATCTTTTGACTTGCCTGAACAACGCGCAAGCGTTCCTATATTGAGATGCGTGTTTCTTTTCCAACTTGGTCCCCTGTACATGTATGTACTGTACATGTACGTCATGTACGTGTATATAGACCCACTGTGGCATGAGAGGGAGGTGGTTTTTCAGTAGACTTGGATGCCGGGCGTTTCTAGCGGTTAGGCCGTGCAGAGGCAGCAGGGTACCAGGTGTACTAGATCGGCTCTATAACACGCCGCGGGTGTCGATTACCAATCGCTATAAAAACTGGACTATTCAACCACTGGACTTCAAGACTACGAGGACCGCAGCCTGTGATGTGATGACTGCCCAAACCTGATGTTTTTCTTTCGCTCATACCCCCGCCCTGCAAACAGGGCAGGGGGTACGAGGGAATGTTTTTCTCAGCTACCTCACGTGTCAGGCACAACCTCGTATGTCACATATCATCCACCTCATCCAGAAATAGCCCAATAAATGTGGCCAATTTACTGGACTGCCCCGGTAAATAAAGGCCACACTGCCACCATATACAAAAACATGTCGAAATTTGTCAAATTTTGATTATCACATTTAGGCTTAGTTTGTAGTTCATTTTTGCTTTAGAAGCATACTCACCTTTATAGGCTAATTAGAAAGTGCTGCCTTTTTCAGATGTCTATTTTTCGTAAAATTTCATGTTGAAATTTTGATACGCAAATGTGTGCAAACGAATCTGGAAATTTCACAAAAAATAGACACCTGAAAAAGGCAGCACTTTCTGATTAGCCTATAAAGAGGGTGAGTATGCTTCTAAAGCAAAAATAAACTACAAACTAAGCCTAAATGTGAAAATCAAAATTTGACAAAGTTCGACATGTTTTTGTACATGGTGGCAGTGTAATCTTTATTTACGGAGGCAGTCCAGTAAATTGGCCACATTTATGGGGCTAATCCAGAAAATGACAAAACCACGGTCATCTTTGTGGCTTCCAAGACTGCAACCTGCCTTTCCAAACAGCATATCAGCTGGTAAAACACAAGAAAACTGAAGGCCACCACTGCAAAAGAGGAAGACCGACAACTTCACGCCGTCACTGAACTAAACACACATGTACATGGGTACACATGTACATGTACAGTGTGTACATGTTCAAGTATATGTACACACTGTACATGCGAGTGCATGTACATGTACATGTTCAGTTTGTTATTAATCGAAATTAGGGGTGGGTGGGTGGGTCAAAATAATTTGGAAAAAAAGTCGAAATTTTAAAACATTGAAAATTCTGAATGGCCCCTAACAAGCTCCTTTTCACCATGGATGTTCAGCAAAGTGGAGTCGCTATGGGTAGGCGCATGGGGCCAAGTTATGCCTGCCTTTTCGTCGGGTATGTGGAAGCTATTCAACACTGGCCCATTGCCTCTGCTCTACAGAAGGTACACATAGTTGGTGCAACATCATTCACAAGGGAGGAACTGAAACCACTTCATTGAATTTGTTGGCAAATATTATCCTGCCCTGCAATTCACCTCAGAGGTATCAGAGACCACACTCTCCTTCCTCGACATTCAACTTCGGATTGATGGGGAACAGTTTGCAACCTCCATGTTCTACAAGCCGACTGACTCCCACAGCTATCTGCAATATGACTCCTATCCACAGTCTTGTAAGGATTCTTTTTCTTACTCACAGTTTCTCAGACTTCGACACATTTGGAGCGATGACAAAGATTTCAGGCAACAAGCTTCTAAGATGGCAACATTTTTCATTGACAGAGGCTACCCTAGGGACATCACATCAAATGCCTTGCATTGACTTTCTGCCATAACCTGCAAGAAAGCACTCACTCCATCGCCTAAGGATGCCGACTAGCGCATCCCTTTGGATGCTTGTAGCTGATGTGTTTGGCGGAATAATGAATAGTTCGGTTATTCAGGGGAATTTATCGGACGAAAACGATGAAGAAAAAGTCTGTCTGGAGATGATTGTGTCAAGTTTTCCCCTGAACGAGTTGCCCTATATTTTCTTTATTTATTATCCTTTTTTGAGTATTTTTTTTAGAGTGGCTATAGGGGCCTGGGCGTAACTGATATAGTTTTATACACAATTTTGACAAATCCAAGACACGTATTTGATGTGTGTTTTTATTTTGAGGGTTTAGGCCCCCTACAAATTTATTTCTTTGTGCATACATGCTTCATAGGACTTATTGAATTATTCCAGTTGTTTTTTTTTTTGTTAATTTTTTGTTTGTTTGCTGCTGGCTCCTAAAATCTAAAAAAAAAAAAAAATTGTTAAAAATCCTGGATTTCATGATTTTTTGGTCATGACTGTCAGCGGTGCTGCCAGTTTTTCATAATTCTTATTTTTCCCCACTTTTCTTTTGTATTATAGATGGTATAAGACTTGGTTTGAGTTTAGTGTAATCGTCTGTTGTCCGGTCCTTTGTCTATTTACAGCTGTCCTTTAAATTCATAGATTTGCATTTATTTTAGCTGTGGTTATGCAACATATCCTTTTATCAAAGGAAAACAATTCTAGACCCGGAGCCAAACCAGATAGCCTATAAGACCGAAGTTTTACTTCTTGTTAACTGTTAGTGATAACAAATGACTTTCTCTCTTGTCATTATTTGTTATATAGAGTTCAAATATTCGTGATTCGAATTGACTCCTGCTCAATATTTGACTTAACTCGACAGACTTGACTACACACTGCGACTTGACTCGCCCTTCTTGACCTAATGACTCGATTCGACTTAGTCATTTCTTTAAAATGACTCCAGTCCAGTCACAAAAATCAGTGACTCGTTACAACTCTGGAACAGACATCCTGACACAACTAAGAGGGAAACAATGCCTTCGTTTCACCAATATGGTGCAGCGTAACCCTGGAGGAAAAACATTGTTATTCTGAACTGCTACATGTACACAAACAAAACAAATGAAAATCAATCTGAGACCTCCAAAACCACGCAGATGACACCTGCCACAAACAAAGCTAGGGTCTTGCCTGGATCTTTTTGAGACCATATGAAGAGTCAGATTTCACATAAAATGTTCATTGTAAATAATCATAGAAACAAGCCACCTGTTTTGTATTTTCAAAGCCAAAGCATTGTTACTTTGTTCACATTGGACTGATTCAAATACAACTAGAGCTATGCCTGTTCGATGAACAGGACACAGGCTTTTCCGCATTTATAAAAATAATACGTGTAAAGAAATACTTTTTTAAAAATGCTTTGTCCAATTTTTGTATTAGAAGAAGAAAATGTAAAAAAGTAGATAAATTAAATACTATTAACACCATCTACCTACCCACCAAGTTTCAAGACAATCGGACTTTATTTTACCCTTATAAGTGTTTTTTTAAAAATCGCATTTTTTATGACGTCATCATGACGTCACACATTTTTTAAAACAAATTGTGCAGATACCTATTAACAAACAAACATAAAATAACATAACAAACCTTATACAAAAAGAATTTTCAATTTAGCATGTTTGAAGCCAAACGGATGAATAGAAGTGCTAAATTTTGTAAGCAGAATAAAATTGTAAATATTCTAAAAATCGTAAAAAATCTACCAATGACGTCATCGTGACGTCATTTCAGATTTTGTGTACTACTACTATTATCTACCCACCCACCAAGTTTCATGACGATTGGACATTCCCTTATATGTGTTTTAAAAAATCACATTTTTGATGACATAGTGACGTCACACAATTTTCACAATTTTGTGAATATACCTGTCATCTAACAAACATAATACAAAAAGAATTTTGAATGTAGCATATTGCGTTCGTGAGATATGGCTTAAAGGTCCAAAACTTCAAAAATGATAAAAAATGACGACGCAATCATGACGTCACTCTTCGGGACACAAACTCACTATAGGGTCTTTACATATGTCAAGTTTCATTAGAATACGAGTTTGTTTTAGGTCCAAAGTGCCGTGGTCAATAAAACATGTACAAAGTCTATGGGATTTGGGTTAGAACAAAAAGAAAAAGGGAAGAAAAAAAATCAGAACAAAAACAATGCTTTTCCGCTTTCAAGTGGAAAAGCAATGATAGGCCTACTCATCTCCCCCCCCCCCCCCCCCAAATAAGGGCACAACTACAAAACATTTTTTTTCAATTGATATAGGCAGAGGCTGCAACCGAGATTTCAAGCAAGGAACAAGAGCTGACTGATGCAGGTGATAAATATCAGGATCTTCAACGAGAACTGGAAGAGATTGTGGCCCTGCTATCTGAGGAGATGGAAAATGTCAATCAAGTCAAGGAACAGGTAGCGCAAGGTATGTAGTGGTATGACATCCTGAGCATATTTGATTTGGTATAGATTCTGATGAAGATCATGTGAACAAGTACTGTGCCGTAACAATCATAGTCAGGTGACATGACAAATATGTTCATCCATATAATTAACTGGATTTCTTTAGGCCCGACCTCGTATAAAGACGACATAATTTTGTTTTCTCATTTTGCTCTTAATCATTTTACAATCTACACTGTCCTGTGTAGTTAATTATGAGACGGCTTTCATAATTGTTGGCATATTTGCTCTGTTTATACACTCAATCTGCCCCCCTCCCCTCTTTGGCAATTAAGACACTTAACAACTTGGGGTAATGGCAAAAGTTGGGATCTTGAGCAGGTTCTAGCATAGATTATTCATAGATAGGACCAATCACAGCGAATAGTTTTGACCAATCACAGCCAAGAGTTTTAATGAAGGATTGAAGCCCAAATGATATGCAACAGTGGAGCAATGCATGCACATGTATGGGTCATTCTGTCACAGCATTTTGAGCAAGCTGGATCAATTTGCCACCACCACCCCAGCTCCTGCCTTCTCCTGCAGGTTGTATTAAAAGTGGCATTTTTAACAGGATTCCAAGAAGTGGGTGCTGTGGTCCAATGGTTACGGTGTTTGACTCGTGTGCCATGGTACATTGGTTTCAAATCCTGACCGTTGCTGTTGAGCAAGGCACTTTACCATTATTGCTTCATCCTTCAGATGGGACGTAAAGCCGTATGTCCGGTGTGTTGTGCAATGCACATTAAAAAAAAAACCAGTAACACTTATCGCTAAGAGAAGGGGTTTGCCCCGGTGTTTCTGGCAGTACCTGCAATAAGTGCCGCAGCACCTTGTATACCCTTATAAGGTGCTACATAATGGGTCTCATATTTCTCATAAACTTTGTTTACCCGTCTTTAATAATAGATGAATTTCCAAGCGCCTTGAGTACCTAATTGTTGGTAGATACGTGCGCTATAGGAAACTCCGGTATTATTATTAAGACAGCCATCTCCAAATACATACATGATTTGACATGTATCATTATTGTTATGGTTATTGTCACCAGTTGATATTGTTACGGATATTGATGAGTGTTTTAATACACTGTGATGTGAACTTTGTAAGGGGTCAGCCACTCCCTCTTATGTACCCAGTGCACTTGGCCCCTGCTGACATGGTGGACCCTGCCATTGTCGGCAAACAAACAAGAACATGGTTTAGACAACTGGACGGAAAAGCTTGACTTTTTGCTGCCTCAAACGAAAGAAGAAGAAAATCTCCATTAATTCGTCTGACATTGGTTGTTTAGTCAGTGAAGTTTGCACTCTGGGAACAAACGGGTAATATGTTTTCTTTTGGAAATCCAGAAACATATTTAACTGGCCCACTAAATGACAATAACATTTTATGGGGTCGGCAACTTCTTGTTCATAGATATACAAGTTGTCAGGAGATGAGTCGGCATGCGTATGAGTTGACCTGTTTCTGTACATTTGCATCACATTTTGCCATGACTACTCTTTAAATTTTCCAACTTGTGTTTTTTTGTTCCTCATAATTTTTAGGTTCCAGTATGCATGCACAAATGTTTTAAATTTTTCATTATTTTAGGTTGTCTCACCAACATATGATAGCCCATGAAAGAACGTAACCAGTTGTAACATATTTGATTGTTGTTAACTTTTTAACAAGTCATGATTTTTTTCAAGACAATGTAATTCTTTTCCGAAACTAATCGTGAAATAGTTGAGATATTGAGATTTTTTTCACAACTAACCGTAAACTGTATTTTGACATGGTGATTTTTGTTTTGAAAACAAAAACTTGAAAAAATCACGATGCGTACAAAAATTCACGATATCACAAAAAAACACAAGTTGGAAAATTTAAAGAGTAGTCATGGCAAAATTTACGACTGGTTGTGCAAAACTAATCTTGTGAACTTGATTTTGGACCTCATGATATTTTTTTAATCAGTTATGAATATTGTTGCTCAAAACAAAAAATCGGGAAAACAAATTGTGTCTTGTAAACAACAAATCATGACGCCACAACCAAATTCACATCCAGTTACAAATTTTGGGAGCCATTCAAAATTTTTGATGTTTTTAAATTTTGATTTATTTTTCTTCGAAACTGTGGGTGGGTGGGTCAAGTAAATTTGTTGAAAATCGAAAATCGAAGTTTACTTTTTCAATGAAAAAGATAGAAAAAAGAAAATAAAAGCTCTTTTAGCTTGCCAAATCAACTCCCTGCGTTCCGATTTGTCTGCTTTTAACCCTTTGCCCGGTACATGCATCCTGTAGTACCGTACAACACATGTACAACTTACCGTGTATTGTGTATACATGTACGTCTATCGGAGCACTATATGCATGGGGACCAGTAAAGTATGGACTTAAAGCATATGTAAAGTCAGTGGGCAATGCAAATGGGCGGAATACCAGGTTCATTTGTCTTAATACATGCCTCGAGCATCGGTTACCAATCGCGACAACGAAATAAACCTACTTGTATTTAAGACTACTTATAATAAATGCAATATGTGTTTCAATATTAAGGCAGCACCAACGCCTGGAAAGCGCAAGTTGAAAGTTCAATTTTTTTCCATCCAAAACGAATGAAATTTCTAAATAAACTCCATGAATAATCGGAGTCATTACACCTCTTTACGCCAAGACAATAGTGGGTTTTTTGTAGAGCAAGCTGATACTTAGCTCCTTTTTATAGCTCCATGTTATCACCGTTAAGAATGGACCGTTAAGGTCCATTCTGACTGTTCTTTTCATTTCTTTCCTGGAATGTTTCCACATGTTTCCAGGTGGATTCCCCGGGAATGCCAGTGGGCCGTGTTGTTGGTAATGTACTGTATACGGACTGTAGCAGAACTCTGCCATAGTGAACTGGACATTTGTTATGTTTTTTATTGAATGGAAAATTTTAAGATTGAAATCGGGGTGGGTGGGTGGGAGGGTCAAAACAAATTCTAAAAATTTGAAATTTAAGAACATCAAAATTTTGAATGGTCCCTTTAATAGTGAACATATTTAGGATGTCGCTTAAATATTATTGACCATTTGTGACAAAATTGTTAGAACTAGTTTAATAAAAATAAATTTTCATAACTAGTATAAAAGGCATGGCAGGGGAAGTTGGTTGACTTTGGATTGTTTGGGTTTGTTTAAATAGCAGAAGGGTTAAAGAGTAGAGCAAGTGATCTGGCTAGGGAATTCGTGGCTTAAAGTAATTTAACTTAACCATATCACCCTGGGGCTCTACTCACGTTCAAAATTCTGCTTGCGTAACAGGATTCAAGAATAAAGAATGAGAACACCTATCTCCAGGAAAGGAATGAAAAGAACAGTCAGAAGGATATCAGAATGGAAGGTTACAGGCTATCCTGTTTCCAATGTTTACAGAGTAACTTTTAAAGCTGTTAACAATTTTGTATGTATCATCAATATTCAGTAGTTCCATAGCTATAGAATAAATTCTATTTGTTTTCAGTTGAATTCTAACAAGTTCTATTCCTCAACCTGACAAACTGTCTGACCAGTTTGTTAGGTTGTTTGTGTTTACGTCTGTTCATTAGCTGGGTGCTGATAATCTTTTTATTGTTGAACTTCTAGGGACTTTTAAGGGACATCACTGAAACTGGACTTATCCCCATTCACCTTTCCCATTATTTGTCAAGTCATCACTATGGATGTTATCTAATTTCTTTTTGTAGCAAAAGTGGACCTGAATGACAACCTGAAAGAAGAACTGGAAGATGCTATTGCTGGTTTGACTACCTTAATGCAAGAGGCACAACGAAAGGCAAAAAAGGAGGACTGCAAGAACAAATTTCTGCAGAGGGAGAGAGATCCACTACTGGGACAGCAGCAACAAGCAGAGAAGGGCAAAACAGGGCTTGGTGAGGATGACTTCATGCCCAGGGATTTGGAAGATATACAAAGAGTAAGTGAGGTTATGAATGATCAAATCTAAAATAATCTCTTTATATGAATGTATATGTAAACCACACCATCATATCTAGACCAACTGACTAGGATCTGGCTAGAGTTGGTTTTTAATTACATGTGTAAGGGAATACATGTGTGCTTGGCCCCAGGCCCGTCCTAAGGGGGCCTGATGGGGCTAGGCCCCCCTTGGTGAGCAATCCCCCCCCCCCTCCCACTAGCAAAAGCCATACATGTATATTTTGTATTTTTATGCCCCACGGCGAAGCTGAAGGTGCATACTGTTTCCGCCTTGTCCTTCCGTGGGTGGGTGGGTGGGTAGGTGAGTTTGTTTCTGCATTCAATAGGGGACATTGAACAATAGAGGACAAAAGGGTTCCCAATTCCCAAAGGAGTACAAACAAAAGAGGGACAATAGGGGGTCCCCGATTGCAGGCAAATACACACTTGTGTGTCTGTGGGCGTTTGTTTGTGCAGCATCATCGGTGAATTGAGGACAGGAACCAAATCGAGGTAGTGCGTGTACAAAACCAATAAGAGCTGTTGCGAAAAAGTTAGTACAAATAAAGGAAAAAGGAAGAGGAACAAAAGAAAATCCTTGATTTACACCATAAACAAACGTGTCTTGGTGGGTGTGTGTCCAGAAAAATCTTGACAGCACAATAACTTGAGAAATACTTAACATATGAACATCAAATTTGGTTTGTGGATTGTTCTTGATAATCCTAAGAAGCCTATTGCATTTGGGGCTGAAAGGTCAAGGGTCAAGTTCACAGTGGCAAAAACTAGAAATCTTGTCAACTCGATAACTTGAGAAATACAGTGAAATCTCGATAACTTAAACTCTGGTAACTCAAACAACTGTTAAGTTAAACAAAGAATCCATTCCCTTCAGTAGTATAACAATGATATTCAACACTGCTTAACTCAAAACTCTGCTTAAGTCAAATTTTGAACCTGTTCCCTTGAGGGGTTTTGACTTATCAACATTTCACTGTACTTAAACATATGAATTCAAATTTGGTTTGTAGATTGTTCTTGGTTTGGGGGTCAAGGGTCAAAGTCACAGTGGCTAAAACAATAGAAATCTTGTCAGTGCAATAAGTTGAGAAATACTTTACATGTGAACTTCAAATTCGGTTTTTGGATTGCTCTTGGTAATCCTAATAAGCCTAGTACATTTGGGAGTCAAAGGTCAAGGTCACAGTGGCTAGAACATTAGAAATCTCGTTAATTGAAATGTGATCTTTTATTTCGTTTTATGTACAGCTGTGGTTTTTTTTTTAATTCAGCTTTTTTTTGTACAGGATCTCTTCACATTCACTCTTTTAAATCACATACAATGACTTCCCAACAAAAAACAAACAAACAAAAAAGAAACAACTACATTATATTTATTCTGAGATAATAGGGATCAATTCATATATAACCTACAGAAAACAATAATGATGTCAATGAACGTTCGATGTGACCCAGGTACATGTAAGTTGATGTTAAAAGAGTGGTGTCATGTCATGGGAATAGTCACGGTTACGGGGCATTTGTGTTTGTAAACACACCTGACTTGTTAATGATAGTTTCCCCCCCCCCCCCCCAGTATGGCCCCCTGATGCTTGGGCCTGGCGACGGCACTGCTTGGCCCATTTTAAACAAGTCCGTTCAAGGCGGGCTTTGGGAAATGACACTAATGGCCCAAACTGAAGCTAAAGGCGAGGGACATTATCGGCGACCAGGCCCCAAGCCGGTCTGAAACAGGGAAAAGTACGTAATTATTCCCATTATCAATTTACAACAATTCTGCTTGTTATATTGTGGGGTTCTTTTACAATGAATCTAAACGGAACGGACTCACCAATATGTTGTCAGAGACTTGTCATGTGGGGGCTGACATCTTGAACTGCCCTTTATTGAATAATGGCTTCGTAACGTGTAGTTCGTGTCACGAACGTACATGCACAGATCAATCATTACAACATCTCCCCCTTTTCTGAAAAAGGAATAAACTGTTAAAACATGCATAAAGAAACAAACTTGAAAGTGAATGCCATTTTCTTAAACGTGTTAAAGTAGTGTAGTGTGTTTTGTAACCAATTAAGTTCAAGGTTCTTTGGGATGTGTTCTCCAGACTAAATTTAGAGTTCAATGCCAAAAATGCAGATTCTAAGAGTCCATGAATGAAATTACTTTTTCCAAAATTATCCAATGCAATGTGAAATTGTTTGAGATGCAGTTGAGTACTTTTGGTGGTGATAAGTGAGGAATGGGAACAGTTGAGAGAGTTCAGTGTTCTCTAGTTCATGACATAGTTCTGATGCCAAGCTGGTGGATGTTCTGTGCGCTGAGGTCTACCGGTTAGTGTGGGTTGTGGTGGTTGTGGGTCAGTGACGTTTGGACATCATAGACGGGTTCTGGATCAGGCTTAGGAACAAGCATGAGCTGAAGCCGATCTCTGCGGTACACTGCCTCTTTGATGTTGACGACATAGGAACGGGGTGGACCAGCCTTCCGGATAACATTGCCTATCCAACTCCATCCAGATTTAGTGCGGACCCTGATGTCATCACCTGGTCTCAGCTCATCCAGTTGTTTTGCACCGTGTCTCCGATTGAAGTAGAGTACGCTCTTGGCTTTACTCGATTCGTCTGCCTTCTTCAACTGCTAATGGCTGGCAATCTTTGGACGAAGATTGTGTGGAAGTATTGGCAGTGTAGTGCGCATCTCTCTCCCCATCAGAAGTCGAGCTGGAGTAACACCCAGAGCTGGTATCGGAGTGGAACGGTAGGGCATCAGAGCTTGAGCTGGATCTGATTGTTGTAGAATCATCTTGGCAATGTGAGCGGCCTTTTCTGCCTGGCCATTCACTTGTGGGTAGTAGGGGCTGGATGTGACATGTTGAAAGTCATACTCCTTGGCGAACTGCTTGAAGTCATCTTGGAACTGCGGACCATTATCTGTCATAACCACCTCTGGGATACCAAAGCGGGCAAATGTAACTTTCATGTAATTGATGACAGATACGGAAGTGGTCTTGTGCAGGTGGTGGACTTCAATCCATTTGGAGTAGTAATCCACTAGGATGATGAACTGCTTTCCCTTCACATCCGCCAAGTCACAGGCTATGTGTTGCCATGGCCTCTCTGGTAGGGGGGGGGTGTGGAAATCAGTGGTTCTGCTCGTTGGGTTGGCTGCTTTGTCTGGCAGTGCTGGCACTTCTTGATGTATTCAGCGATATCTGTGCCAATACCTGGCCACCAGACTGCTTGGCCAGCTCGAAGTCTGCTCTTACTGATGCCTTAGTCGCCCTCATGGATTTTCTGGAGCATCTCGGGCCTCATCTTCTCTGGAATGATGATGCGATTGCCATGGGTGAGGACTCCATCAATCAAGCTGATTTTGTCCTGCTCCTCCAAGTAGCCTCGAACTCTTGCAGATTCAATGTCTTTGGCACACTTGGGCCATCCATTGCTGACATACGCTGTCACAATGATGAGGTTGTCATCAAGGGTTGTTTCTCGTGCGATCTCCGTAAGTTTGCCGGATGATACAGGCCAGTGCTTGGTGACCATGTTGATGTGAACCTCCACCTCCTCTTCAAGATTGTCAGTTTTGTCTGCTGATGATTTCAAGGGGGCTCGTGACAATGTGTCAGCAACAATGAGGTATTTCCCAGGTGTGTAGACAGCAGTTGTATTTCATGAACCGCATGAGAAGATGCTGGCACCTGAGAGGGACATCACAGAGATCTTTGTTGTTTATCAGGGGGACCAGTGGCTTGTGGTCTGTCTGGACTGTGACATGTAGGCCACGTAGGTATACATAGAATCGCTCGCAGGACCACACTGTCACCAGTAGTTCCTTCTCTATTTGTGCATACCGTCTTTAGGTGCTGGTGAGACTTCTGGAACAGTAGGCTACAGGTTTCCACTGCTCATCGTGTTGCTGCAGGATACAGCCTCCTAATCCATTACTGCTCGCATCGGCACTGATCATGGTTGGTCAGGACGGATCGTAGAATGCAAGGGTGGGTGCCGAAGTCAGGAGTTTCTTGATGTGACAGAATGCTGACTGTTGAGATGGACCCCAAGTCCAGTTGACGTTACCCTTCATGAGGTCATTGATTGGGGCGGCCACTGATCATGCGCTAGGAATGAATCGTGCGAGCCAGTTAACCATTCCCATGAGGTGCTTCACTTCCTCTTTTGTAGTCGGCGGGGCAATCTGTATGATTGCTGTTACCTTCGCGGGGTCTGGGTGGATGCCATCTTTGTTCAGTTTCATTCCAAGGAAGTCGACGCGTGTCTGCGCGATCTTGCACTTTTTCTTGTTGAGCTTAAGTCCGGCATTCTGCATGATTTGCAGGACTTGCTGTAGTCGTTCGTCGTGTTCCTCTTTAGTGTGCCCCGTGATTAACACATCGTCCATGTAGACGACCACACCTGTTATGCCTGCAAGGAGATCACTCATGATGCGTTGGTACATCTCCGGAGCAGATGTTATGCCAAGCGGTAGGCGTCGGAAACAAAAACGCCCGTACGGAGTGATGAAGGTCGTCAGCTTTTGACTCTCTTCTCTGAGTGGGACCTGCCAAAAGCCATGTTTGTTGTCCAGCAGTGAGAAAATCTGTGCACCAGAAACCCGACCTAGAACTTCCTCAACTGTGGGTATGATGAAACGTTCTCTGGCGACGGCTTTGTTGAGCTGACGTAGGTCGACACACAGTCGAATGTTGCCGTTCTTCTTTGGTGCTAATACGATGGGTGAGCACCAGTCGGTTGGCACCTTGATGTGCTGGATGATTCCCTGCACTTCAAGCTTTTCCAGCTCTTTCTTGAGTTGAGGCATGAGTGGAAGGGGAATCTGATGGGGGGAATTGACAGAGTAGGGTGTGGCATCCTCTGCAATCTTGATGGTCACCGGATGGCTGTGCATATAGCCGGACCCTCAAACACACTGTCATGACTGATAAGTGTGCAGACGCGCTTCAACAGTCCCAATCCT